AGAGTGTTTGAAATGTTCAAAAACTTTTGTTGAGACATTTGATACTGTGATGTTATTTTCGATGTCATATACATGTCGCATACGTCACATTAGTCACCGCGGGGGATGTTATATTTTTAATCTTAAAGGAAAAACCCGCTCGCGCTGAAGAATAAGATCGATGATCGATGGATCGCGAGCGCATTTATCATCAGGTAGAAAAATAAGCGATGACAGGCCGAGCCTATAAATGTGGTTTTGCATTAAGAATCGCATGGAATCGATCATACGTCGGTGCTCGCAGACAAAAATACCGGATCGACAGAGCGAGATATTACACTTCATCTTCATATTTCTTTCTGTCATTCTCTCTTTTCTTTATTACCTTCAGAAAACCAATTCTGATTGTATTTATTATACTGACAATTAAGATGCGATTAAATTGCGATCGAAAATTTCTGATAAAATTTTCGCCAGAGAAAATATTGTTTTAATTTTCAACAGAGAAAATATATCTCTGGTCTGCACCTATTATCGAACACTCGATGGATATCATCGAAAACAAACTCCGAATCGAAAGCAAAATATTGTCGTAATGTTTTACCGCAAGCAGCAGCAGCAGCAGCAGCAGTAGCAGCACCAGCTCGTTCATGAGAGATACGCGCGCGTAATTTACCATCTCTTCCGCTAGTAAATGTCGGTAAACGATGCGCGGTATCTCTGGGGCTCATCCGTTTTGCGTAACCCCCAGTTTCCGAGCCGACGTTGCCGTAAAGTCGAGAGCTTTTTCGCTCTCTCTCTCTCTCTCTCTCTCTCTCTCTCTCTCTCTCTCTCTCTCTCCCCTCTCTATCTATCTATCTCTTTCTTTCTCCCCTTCTTTGTCTTCCTGCCTGGTCATTTTGAAGAAACTTCCGGTCAGTTCTAACTTCAAACTAGTTCTATTTGTATTACAAGCACTACACGAAAACTTGAACAGGATGCACAAAAGCCTTTTATCTTCCCTCCATTTGTTCTAAATATCGTCCGCATTCTAGTATTATTTAATTCATTCCGAACAGTTTATATCGAATTATAAATAAGTGAATGAGAGATAAGTTTAATTAAAAATATGAAAAATATAATTATATGAAAATCACTCATCGCTATTTTATTTACACTGAGAAAAATGTTCTAATTAAATTAACAAAAAGGCCTAACAAGAATTTTGGTGAAGCTGAAGAGAATTTTTGGTTATCATAATTTTTTAACGGAATTTCAATTCCATTCAGTCTCGCCATTTGATTAGGCTTTTGTCGATTTTTCAGAACATTTATCTCAGTGCAGTTTAAATTTCAAAGCAAGACGAAATGAAATTCTTGAAAATTCTTAACTTATCTCGACAAAAAATTCAGATCTTTTTTTATGCAAAAGTAATGACTCCGATACGATGAGATTAAAGAGAAAACTTGTATTCAGATCATGTTTTGCGATTTATATTACATTTTGTGCGATCAATTGTTAGAACATAAACTCAGTTCGCAAGTTCCGATCTATCGGAAATCTATCGCAAATCTATCGCAAATCGATCGGATTTTCGTTTATGATTTATCGTAACGCGAGCTATTATGGGAAATTTTTGCGCGCAAAACTTCTGATATTGCGTCGGCGCGCACGGATAATGCTGTCATATTTTTGTTGTTGAAATAAAAGGCGGGAAAAGGCCGGAGGTGTATACGTCCCTCAACGTCGAGCATCAAGCGGACTCGCGTTTGTAAACGCCGCAGCATGGAAGGGACATTAGGAACGAAAATGCAGGGAGAGAGAGAAGGAATTTTTCGACGACGCTCTTACGGAAATTAAAGTTTTGACAGGCGGCGCGATAACAGTGAAATAAACTCGCCAGGCTAATTCAATAACAACTAATTGACATATTACGTTTGCAGGAGATTCGATGTAATAAAATACATATATAAAACACGATAAATGCATTATAGTCGTTTCAAATTATAGTCGCGAGTAAAAAACAAAGGCAATGCGAAATATAAAATTATTAGAGACACGAGGATACCGTATAATCGATTTTATTCATCGCGAAATATGTGACACCTGTTCCGGCGAAACAGCAGTGACATCCATATCGATTTTGTAGTTCAACTTTTTCCCTTGCGTTTCCTGAGCGCATCAACTTATTCGAACTTTGCTCCGGACGAGATATCGGTTTTTGGGGTTGGCGCTGGGATAAACCGGAGGTACTATTCTTGTAACTGGCAATCTCAAGGAAACTTCTATAGTATATGAAACTCGTTTCTCCGCTTGTATCATGACTACTTGTCCCTTCTGACATCTCGTCCTCGGCTTTGATGGGCTATCCGACCGGACGACCAGTTCGCTAGATACTATCATAGGCAATATCATCGCTTCTTGATGTACGAAAAAGCGATACCGTACTTGCCAAATGTCGCATGTACATGAACTGATTTCCCGGTTTTCGAAAGCTTCGTCCGTGTGTGTGATCCATAACATTCAAAAAAGTAATCTTACAGTTATAGCGAAAATTATCTAAGTACGAAAAATAGCTAAAATAGATAAATTTCTAGTAAATACTGCGATATTGGATACATATTGTATCTAATCATATAGATGACAGAGATAGAATTTAGATCTGTGCTATAAATTCTATGCGTATGATACACAATTTTTCTATTAGATACAAAAAACAGCTATAATTCTAGCTGAAGCAGCAAAATATTTTTTTGCGTGAAATAGCCAAATCGGCTGAATAAATAGATTCAATCTTCTATTAGTTAAAAAAAAGACTTATCTTTGAAAGCTCCCTCTCTTTCTTTTGGAATTGTTTAAACTTGAAATAATAAACTCTATTGTACATTTGATTCATTTGGTTGAAGTGGGACATTGGCTGCCTCATTAGTATCTTTTTAATTTATACAAATAGTTTAATAAACTGTCAATTAAAAAAATTAATAATTTTAATAAATTGTATGTTTAAATAATTTTAGTCATAATTTTTACGAGTGTTTAATATTAGTATATACATCTTAAACGGTTCATGATACTCTATAATTTAGACGCTGTCACTTACTGTATATTAAATTATGACCGATTACATGGAAGAATTTTTTGCAGCAATCGAGTGTATTTTTAGACATTATCGATGAAAAAAATTGTAAAATTTTGCACTTATTCGAAGATATATTGCGAGCGAAACGGACATACGGCCGCTCGTGAAGTCGTTCCATTATCGCTATCGTCTCATTATCAATGTCGGATTCATTTAATCACAGCAGAGTCGATCAATGCAGTCGGCACGTGTGCACGCTACGCTATCATTCGTGTGATGTTGCAACGGAGGTATATCTTTCCGCAAGCTGCGCGGCGATAATAGCCATAAAATCAAGTATGCGCGCGCCGGTGAATATTTACGAGTTTTGGCACAGCTGATCGCATACCTGAACTCATACGTATCGCAGCATGTTCCGCCACAGTGAAACAATCCGCGACGCAGGTTATATAAAAAATTAAATTTTTATATAATAACGTGTGTTAAATAATTTTCCCAACGCGCTAGATATTTTTATTATCGTGTATTTTTTTTCTCTTACGGAAAATTACGTCGATTCCATAAGTGATCGTTAGTTGATGACTGACATTATTATCGAATCTCTACATTCGAAGCGGTACAAAGGTCAATTTCACCTTCGCGCTCATCTCTCGATTTAATAACAAGATCGATGCTCTTAAGTCGAATGGGGTGAGGTAAGAGGATAAGGAGAGGCCAAGAATCAAACCGTCGTGAACACGGAGCCAGGTAAAGAGGAGAAGAGCGCGGCGGGGCAGTGCGCATCGCGCAGGAGCTAACAAATTGTGTTCCCGCGTTAAAGGAGCGAGAGAAGGGACCCTTGTCGGAATTATTGAGCTCGGCACGTCGGATCGATACCTCTTTCCCGACTCGTCGCGCGGATGACGAAAGGCATACCCACGCTGGCCTTTGTCGGGAAGCCCGCCTCGGAGCCAGAAGTCCCTCTTCCTTCGGGATGTACCCGAGTGGCATCCTCGACACGAGCGGGCGGACGTCCTTGTCCGCGGCAGCACGTGCAGCTGCCGTTCACCACGCGGTTCTCCACCGCCTTTGATAAAACAGAGCTTGACGAGCCGTGCGGTACCGTGGAACGATAACTGCAAATGTCGATTGTACGTACAGATAGTAAAACATCACCGCCGTCACCCCACAGCCATTAGTGGGGTCAGAGGGCATCATCGAGATATTTATCTTCGTAGTGCGATTGCGTATAATATCGGTGATAATGACGATTTTTTTCGCGCGTGCCGCGATAACCCACTTTGTACGTACAAATCCGCAATCTGGGTTATCGTGAATTAAATGCAAGATGATGACGTATCCGGAGCGATCTTATCTTATTTTACAGAATTCTGTTGACTACGAAAGTCTATCTTTTTGATATACGCTTTCTCCCACTCGAGTTTCATCTCGAAGTGAGCTTTTTCAGTAAAGCAATGATTAACACCTTTAGACTTGGTTTTAATAGAACCTTGAATTTGAAAAAAATTTTTTTAATTCAATTCAAGGACATTTTAATAAGTAATTCATATTGAAAAATTATTTCTTTTTTCAAAATTTTGACTATTTTTCCAATATGTACATTATTATGTATGCAGGGTCTGAAGAGGTCAATCCTTTCGTGATAATAAATCGTAGGCGTAACCAAATAATAATCCTCGGTGAATCCCCTTCAGTATCGTTTCCTCGTAGTTTTGCATAGTAAAGTGATAAGTTTGCGATTATATATTATTAATTTGTGCAATATAGCTTGACATTATGACAGCCCGCTTAATTTTTTAAAAATCATTGGCTTGTGTCGCGTTCTTATCTTCTGATACGAAATATAAACAATAAATTAAATACGTCAATTAGCATGGCGATTGCCGAACGTGTGATTATCGTTATCGTAGGTTCGTTTTTGTGATGGTCACTGGAAACCCATAGTCGACCGGTCTCATTGCAGTGCCGTCGGTATGGCAGCAGACTCCGCTGATACTTCCTTGCTAACGAGCGCCATCGAGGAAGATCCAACTGAGAGCCCGAATACGATTCATGTAGGACGATCTGAGATTCTCCATCTCCACTGCCATCACCATCACCCCCGCAGCAAGGATGTTCCAAGGAAATGTCGGAGAGATCAAAACGGTGCGCTATTGTGCGACTTCGACGAGGTGATCGATTACGTCGATTATGCTAGACTGATTCGGAGCTGGTTATCAAGAACATGCAGTAAGTCTTGCGCGTTTTTCTTTCAAGCGGATTTCATTCATACCTCTGTGCCCTTAATGATTATTAATCGATATCGAAAATTAAAACGGTAACGACGATAATGATAATGGGAGAAAGGAAAAACTTCGCGAAACGATTTTAGTTTTGATGCGGTATTACACGGAAAAAACAATTTTATTGACGTATTTAAAAATTTAGCCGAATATAGATTTGAAAATAATTTTGTTTGAATCTCATCAAAATAATTATGTAGGACATTGAAGCTGTTTGAATTTTAAAACTTTTTTTCAGAATTGTCATCAACGTTTAAACGTTCTACATAATTATTTTGATGATCTAACAAAATGATTTTCATATCTGTATCCAGCTAAATTTTTAGATTTCAGCAAAATTGTTCTTTCCGTGTGAAACTCTGGCAGTATATCCGGTTTTAAAATCTTGTCTTCGAAAGATTATAATCACGATAACTTGAAGAAGAGACGGGGGCTTATGCGATTCCCAATGCGGAATCGATTTCCATGCATCGGATTACTTTAAGCTCGTATTTCGCGACGCGCTTATCACGCCGAGGAACGGTCGAGTTCGATAACGGAGATTATGTTGAGACAATTTTATAAATAATCGCTTTTTCGATAATATTATGACACGTCTGATATTAAGATGTTACGTTTAATTATCGTCGGTACTCGATGCGCTCACGCTGGTCGAAACCAGCTTGGGGATTATCACAGCTTTAACGAGCAAGTCTGATAAGCTCTTATTTTTGTCGCTGTTATAATAATGCTTACTACGATAAGCTCCCGTTTTATCTCTGACTTTATATAGACTGCTTACAAACAACGGGAAGCGTCAGATTCTCTATTCAAGTTCGTGACGGATATTCCTCCGAATGCATCTATAATTAATGTTTTACTAATCAATGTCTCTTACATGTCAAGCGTTGTTGCGATCAAGGTTTGTTTTATCACAACCCATTTTCTCTTGACCATTTCATTTATATGTTTGCAGTGTAGCTTTGGATATGAATATATTGTCCATCCGAGGTAAGACGTATTTTTTATGCGAGTTCCTCCCCCCCCCATCCCATTTCGTATTTGCGCTCATATTATCTACACGTTAAACTTTTTAGACACTCTCAAACTTCCATACGATCGATACGGTAATATCCGTTTTCCAATAATGTTAGCAAACTATATCGTATATTTTTCGCTTTGGCGCTAATAACAGGCTTCTCCGAAAGAGGTGTAAACTCTGCCGCCGTTTGTGGGAACGTGAATAGCGTAAGGACGATCACATAATTTCCCTGAACGGTGACATTTAATCCTTGCTTAAATTAGCAAGGAGCGGTAAGTCATGCTTACCGGCACGTGTGCTTGAATTTGTAATAGCTGTTGTTTGTGTTGCAAAGTTCTGGTTAAGTAGGCTCGCTAAATTGCGATGTATGCACGAGCAGATTATTTTGATTTATACGATATGTCCTGCACGACAACGTAGCGATAAGAATGGGCTTTATACATTTCTATCACCTCTAAAAATTAATATCTACTTTTTTATTTATTATCTATATTTATTACGCTATATCTGTGTTATATTATTATATTTCGAAATTTTCTCACGAACGTATCTTTGAATTATCTAAATTCGTCTAGTTTTATCAAATTTTCTATGTTTCTCTTATTGATTCTTATGTATGACAATCTTTTTAAGTCTATTTTTATATCTAAAAAAGTATTGTACATTTTAAATAAAAATATAAATGATTTATACGAGCTTTGTATCAATTTTATGCTAAATATAATACTTTTGTATATATCTGTACATATAATACATATATATTTATACAACTATATTTTTCTTCGTATGATATTTTGAGTATTTGACGTTATAATTTTAATATTTTTATATTGACATCGACTTGCATGTCGAGATATGAGCATGTGGTTTTCCGCATTCCGAGGAAAAAAATTGGTTTTAGATTCTAATACGCTGCATTTGAAGATGCGCAATAGGTGTAGAACAATAAAATGATAGGGGCATTAGAAATCAAATTGATAAGATAAGAGTTAAAGCATCAATGAACTCATGAGTATAATAAACGCGCTAAAATAAACATCAGGTATCTTTATCACTCTATAACTGAATCACAGATAGTTACGGGTATCATTAATTGTTTATGTCAACATGATAGAAAATAGAATTACAAAGAGGTTGCCATTTTGCTCTTTGATCATATCTTCATCGTTACTCGTGTTGTATCAGAGGTTATCACTGTCATCTGCAATCATGACCGTGCGTCGTACAGGCTCACACGGCGATAAAATTTAATCGCGTCAATCTCGCAAATGACTCGATCAGTCGTACATAGATCAATTTAACTTGATTCACTAATTCTACATATTTACGTCTATTACAGTTTGCACGTAGTACGTAGTGAGGTATGCCTGATGGCTTTTCGGAGAAAGCGGGTCTCGGTCAAAAATCGTTTTAAATACACACGACGCCTCATTAAAACGCCTCGAGCGATTTAGTGAGCAAAGAGGAATGACAACAAAAAAAAATCGAGCAGATCGTGTTTGCGGGAGCCGGCGAGGTATAGCGAGGTAAACGCACTTGGGTTTGTTTACTGCGCAGTTTACGTGAGAACGCGACAAGAAAGGCGAAGAAGCAGACACGAGAGTGAACGACCGTGCCGAAAAGTCGACTGCCTCTTTCTTGTCGTGCGATGCGCGTCTTTTACAGTTATAATGCTAACAAACTGTATGAGTCTGCTAGGCACTATGTGGCATACTTTGGCGCTCGAATAAAAATTTTCAAATGTATCTGTGTCGTTAATCTTCCGAAGGTGACGCCAAAACCTGCAACGCAGTTACTAACACCTGAGTCTGTGACTCCCTCCATTCAATTTATGTTAATTGAAAGATACTAATTAATTTCAAGAAACTGAATTAACATAACTCAAGTGAATAAAAATACTGACAACGAGAATATATTTTGATAAGAATACTTTAAAGGATCTCGTAGAGGAAAGTCGCCGATACTGACATAGGTCTCCTAAAGTGACACCCCCTTATTTCTCAGAAACTAACTATTGCACTTTATTAATACTAATAAAATCATGATCTGTTTAGCTAATTAAAGAAGTACAAACTCATAATTCATATATTTGCGGCTTATTTCTATACCAAATCAGCTAAAAACCAATTTTATGAATCCGAGAAGAAAATTCTTACGGTGTTTTTTTGCAAATTGCGTAATTAAAATAATAGTGACTGTATTATTGATAATATTATGCCATTTTAAATGTTTATAGTTTCATAAATTAGTTTTCTTTACAGAATAGGATATATCTTTATTTATAAAATAGGAATGTTGGTATTATTGCCTACTATGTCAGTTTTGGAGCACATTTTGTCAGACGCTCATTTTTGCATAACTTACGAAAAACTTAATTATTGCAAAATTGCAAACAGTATTATAAAAATTGCTTATACTATCTGATAGAAGATACTTTTTA